GAATGCAGTGTACCTTCTAACCATGGCATCACAGAATGAAGTGTACTTTCTAACCAATGGCATCCCAAATTTCAGTGTACTTTTTAATGAATGTCATCACAGAATGCAGTGTACTTTCTAACCAATGTCATCACAGAATGCAGTGTACTTTCTAACCAATGGCATCACAGAATGCAGTGTACTTTCTAACCAATGGCATCACAGAATGCAGTGTACTTTCTAACCAATGGCATCACAGAATGCAGTGTACTTTCTAACCAATGGCACCGCAGAATGCAGTGTACTTTCTAACCAATGGCATCACAGAATGAAGTGTACTTTCTAATGAATGTCATCACAAAATGCAGTGTACTTTCTAACCAATGTCATCACAGAATGCAGTGTACTCTCTAACCAATGACATCACAGAATGCAGTGTACTTTCTAAGGAATGGCATCACAAATTGCAGTGTACTTTCTAACCAATGGCATCACAGAATGTAGTGTACTTTCTAACCAATGGCACCACAGATTGCAGTGTACTTTCTAACCAATGGCATCACAGAATGCAGTGTACTTTCTAACCAATGACACCACAGATTGCAGTGTACTTTCTAACCAATGGCATCACAGAATGCAGTGTACTTTCTAATGAATGGCATCACAGATTGCAGTGTACTTTCTAATGAATGTCATCACAGATTGCAGTGTACTTTCTAACCAATGGCACCGCAGAATGCAGTGTACTTTCTAACCAATGTCATCACAGAATGCAGTGTACTTTCTAATGAATGACATCACAAATTGCAGTGTACTTTCTAACCAATGGCATCACAGAATGCAGTGTACTTTCTAACCAATGGCATCACAGAATGAAGTGTACTTTCTAACCAATGGCATCACAAATTGCAGTGTACTTTCTAACCAATGGCACCACAGATTGCAGTGTACTTTCTAACCAATGGCATCACAGAATGCAGTGTACTTTCTAACCAATGGCATCACAAATTGCAGTGTACTTTCTAACCAATGGCAACACAGAATGCAGTGTACTTTCTAACCAATGGCATCACAGAATGCAGTGTACTTTCTAACCAATCTGTTAATCTGTTATTAATAATAAATATTGTGTATAAACGTAATGCGTGAATGAATTGTGAACGCTGGGACAGGAAGTATCGAGTGCTGTTAGGCACGATCGACTGTCTGGTGCTGCAATTCACTGGTAAGACTTCTTACCAGATCCGGGTACTTCCATATGCAAATGAACAGTCGCGCAGATATCTATCATTTTATCGTGGCCAATCGTGAAAAGGTTTAGGGGTCGCTGGCTACGAGGATCGCCCTCGACTTCCGCAAAATTTGTTTTGACTGTACTATACGCGATCGCAACACTTTCCACAGCAGTTTTTAATATCATGACACAAACAAATCTTGACGAATGCATTATAAAAGTGCTGGAACGTTTAGACTACCTTGATATTTCTTGCAAAGAATACCAGCGAGACACTATCGCAAACTACACAGAGGGAAGAGATGTGTTCGTCAGCGTGCCGTGTTGACATTTGTCTTGTCAAAAAGATCTCGTTTCGAAACCAGGGATCCCTAACTTTCAGTTGCCATTTTCTTAGATGAAAATGCCTGCGACTTTCCCAATAACTCTCGCTTAGTTTGTTGAAATTAAAAACACATTCAGGAGGTCATTTAGAATACATTTGCATCATTATGTTAATATAGTTTATTTCATGACGTCAGCATCAACTTAAATTATTCATATCAACTAGAAACCTGCAGACGGGAACAGTCTCTCAGTCTCTCATGTGAAATGTTTCGCATTTCCCATCAAACGTCTACGGCGTTCGAATGTATAAGAAACACAATTCCATTAGGCCCGAGGACTGTAAACAGTCTAGGTTTGATTGAGTAAACAGAAGATTAAGACTTTTGTAATGTACGAAAATGCAAAATTCACATGAAAATATATTGCGAACAAGGACACTCTCAAAAAACCAGAATATTTACAGAATCACAAATTTTGTATGGTGTTTTTTTTCTAGAAATGTACATTCTTCTGACAGTCATTTCAAATTTGACAGTCATATCACATTTGTTATCCATATCACATTTGTTATTCATATCACATTTGTGATTCATATCACATTTGTTTTTCATATCACATTCATGATCCATATCACATTTGTTTTTCATATCACATTTGTGATTCATATCACATTTGTTATTCATATCACATTCGTGACTCGTATCACATTCGTGATCCATATCACATTTGTTATTCATATCACATTTGTCTTTCATATCACATTTGTGATTCATATCACATTTGTTTTTCATATCACATTTGTTATTCATATCACATTTGTTATTCATATCACATTCGTGATCCATATCACATTTGTTATTCATATCACATTTGTGATTCATATCACATTTGTTATTCATCACATTCCTGATCCATATCACATTCGCAATTCATATCACATTTCTTATTCATATCACATTTGTTTTTCATATCACATTTGTGATTCATATCACATTTGTTTTTCATATCACATTTGTTATTCATATCACATTCCTGATCCACATCACATTCGTGATCCATATCAGATTCGTGATCCATATCACATTCGTTATTCATATCACATTCATGATTCATATCACATTCGTGATTCATATCACATTAGTGATTCATATCACATTCGTGATCCATATCACATGTGAGATTCATATCACATTTGTTATTCTTATCATATTTGTTATTCATATCACATTTGTTACTCGTATCACATTCTTGATCCATATCACATTTGTGATTCACCATATCACATTTGTTATTCATATCACATTTGTTATTCATATCACATTCGTGATCCATATCACATGTGAGATTCATATCACATTTGTTATTCTTATCATATTAGTTATTCATATCACATTTGTTACTCATATCACATTTGTTATTCATATCACATTTGTTATTCATATCACATTTGTTATTCATATTACAGACAAAATTATTAGTCTTAAGTTATTAATAGTTTTAATTGCTAACAAAGACATTTTTTTTATAACAAATTCTTCATTCAAGCTTTAATCATCATTAAATTTGATTTTCTTTCCTTTAAAAACAACCATTGTTGATTCCTGTTCCCGTCTCTTTTTACTCGCCTCCCACGATGGGTGCATTTTTTCAGCTGGTAACAGTTTTTTTTCAACCCTTTCTTCTTTTGGCTTCTTTGGAGGGTAATTTTTCACTGAAAATGAACAATACATTAATATACTCAAGAGCCGGCTGTCAGCCACATGGCCTGCTAGAAGCCCAAATTGGCCGTCTACTCTCTGCCCTCTTGACTACCTAAGTCGGTCTCGCTGCAGAGCTTCCTACTGCTGAGAGCCTTTTTATATATTTGTAGGCCTGTTGTTACAGGATGATGGCCTGCTATTAAATGCATTTGTGAAAGCGCTGATACTGTAGAGAGATTTATTGGAAATAGCTGTTTGTCGTGAGAGTCACAGTGTCGTGAGTGTCCCAGTGTCGTGAGAGTCACAGTGTCATGGGAGTCACAGTGTCATGAGAGTCACAGTGTCGTGAGTGTCCCAGTGTCATGAGAGTCACAGTGTCATGGGAGTCACAGTGTCATGAGAGTCACAGTGTCATGAGTGTCACAGTGTCGTGAGAGTCACAGTGTCGTGAGAGTCACAGTGTCATGAGAGTCACAGTGTCATGAGAGTCAGTGTCATGAGAGTCACAGTGTCATGGGAGTCACAGTGTCGTGAGAGTCACAGTGTCATGGGAGTCACAGTGTCATGAGAGTCACAGTGTCATGAGAGTCACAGTGTCGTGAGAGTCACAGTGTCATGAGAGTCACAGTGTCATGAGAGTCACAGTGTCATGAGAGTCACAGTGTCATGAGAGTCACAGTGTCATGAGAGTCACAGTGTCATGAGAGTCACAGTGTCATGAGAGTCACAGTGTCGTGAGAGTCACAGTGTCGTGAGAGTCACAGTGTCATGGGAGTCAGTGTCATGAGAGTCAGTGTCGTGAGAGTCACAGTGTCATGGGAGTCACAGTGTCATGAGAGTCACAGTGTCATGAGAGTCACAGTGTCGTGAGAGTCACAGTGTCGTGAGAGTCACAGTGTCGTGAGAGTCACAGTGTCGTGAGAGTCACAGTGTCATGGGAGTCACAGTGTCGTGAGAGTCACAGTGTCATGAGAGTCACAGTGTCGTGAGAGTCACAGTGTCATGAGAGTCACAGTGTCATGAGAGTCACAGTGTCATGAGAGTCACAGTGTCGTGAGAGTCACAGTGTCGTGAGAGTCACAGTGTCGTGAGAGTCACAGTGTCATGGGAGTCACAGTGTCATGAGAGTCACAGTGTCATGAGTCACAGTGTCATGAGAGTCACAGTGTCATGAGAGTCACAGTGTCGTGAGAGTCACAGTGTTGTGAGAGTCACAGTGTTGTGAGAGTCACAGTGTCATGAGAGTCACAGTGTCATTGGAGTCAGTGTCATGGGAGTCAGTGTCATGGGAGTCAGTGTCATGAGAGTCGCAGTGTCATGAGAGTCACAGTGTTGTGAGTGTCACAGTGTCATGAGAGTCACAGTGTCATGGGAGTCAGTGTCATGGGAGTCAGTGTCATGAGAGTCACAGTGTCATGAGAGTCACAGTGTCGTGAGAGTCACAGTGTCGTGAGAGTCACAGTGTTGTGAGTGTCACAGTGTCATGGAGTCACAGTGTCATGAGAGTCACAGTGTCATGGGAGTCAGTGTCATGAGAGTCAGTGTCATGGGAGTCACAGTGTCATGAGAGTCACAGTGTCATGAGAGTCACACTGTCATGGGAGTCAGTGTCATGGAGTCACAGTGTCATGAGACACACAGTGTCATGGGAGTCAGTGTCATGGGAGTCAGTGTCATGAGAGTCAGTGTCATGGGAGTCACAGTGTCATGGGAGTCAGTGTCATGGGAGTCACAGTGTCATGAGAGATACAGTGTCGTGAGAGTCACAGTGTCGTGAGAGTCACAGTGTCGTGAGAGTCACAGTGTCGTGAGAGTCACAGTGTCGTGAGAGTCACAGTGTCATGAGAGTCACAGTGTCATGAGAGACAGTGTCATGGGAGTCAGTGTCATGAGAGTCGCAGTGTCATGAGAGTCACAGTGTCATGAGAGTCACAGTGTCATGAGAGTCACAGTGTCATGAGAGTCCCAGTGTCATGAGAGTCACAGTGTCATGGGAGTCAGTGTCGTGAGAGTCACAGTGTTGTGAGTGTCACAGTGTCGTGAGTGTCACAGTGTCGTGAGAGTCACAGTGTCATGGGAGTCACAGTGTCATGAGAGTCACAGTGTCATGGGAGTCACAGTGTCATGGGAGTCACAGTGCCATGGGAGTCACAGTGTCATGGGAGTCACAGTGTCATGGGAGTCACAGTGTCATGGGAGTCAGTGTCATGGGAATCACAGTGTCATGAGAGTCACAGTGTCATGAGAGTCACAGTGTCATGGGAGTCATCAGTGTCATGAGAGTCACAGTGTCATGGGAGTCACAGTGTCATGAGAGACATCACAGTGTCATGACAATCACAGTGTCACTGTAGTTACTGTGTTTACCTATGGCAATGTATGTACATGTATTACCTCCCATATCAGCTTTACAAGGATTATCAATTTTCTGTCTGTCTTTGAAGACTGTGGTGTTTTTTGAAGGATCACTGTAAAAAGGAAAACAACAAAAATATGATCACTGTATGACATTGACAATGGCATGACACAGTTAAACAATTAAAATACAACCACATAAATAGTATGAACTCAAATACTAACATTGCAATCAAGTGCATATTATTCATTTAAAACTCATTGAGTTGGCTATATTGAATTGAATGACTGCATACTTTCAATAAAATGATTTTAAATTTTGAAGTCTGTTTATTTTAACTTACCTGATTCTTTTTAAATCCTGATTTACATTACTTTGTTTAGCTTTTCTTTTATTTCTACTTTCAGACTTCTGTTCCCTCTTCTTTCTCATATCACTTTCAGCAGATGACAGACTACCAAAAAATGTTGATTGTAGAGCTTGTTTCCCAAGCACCTTAAACTCTACAGGACTGGACATTTGGGTGGAGTATTCACCAGGATTTGCTTTCCGTGTAACGGCAACTTCAACATCATCAAATGAATCAGAAAAAATAGAATCTCGACAAGATGACTTTATTCTCACGTCCATGTCACATTTGGCATCTGACCTTTGACCTGACTGATTATTTCCTGGATTAGCAACTTTTTCAGACTCCAATCCTTGCAGAGTATTTTGATTGGCTACTCCTTTACCACACTCATCACTTGCTGTATCACTAACATTTTCATCTTTGCTAACATCATTGTTTTCTTCATGATTTTTTACTTCATCATCTTCAGGCCTTTTTTCAATTATGATTTTTTGAAAATCTTCTGAGGCATACTTTTCTACAATGAAGAAAATAAAATAAAAAAAAAACAAATAATATTTTGGGCGTTCAAAACAATACATTGTGTTATTGAAAGCAGGAACGAACAGTTGAGGGTACTATCTGACATGAGTGGAAGTCAGGTAAGCTCATTTCAGTATCACTACTATATAAAAATATGTACGACTGGGCAGACGAATGCCATTTATTTGTCATGTACTATATTGTGACAAATTAGTCTGGTTTACCTTTAATTCTGCCAATGTGTTCATTTACTATATTGTGACAAATTAGTCTGGTTTACCTTTAATTCTGCCAATGTGTTCATTTACTATCTTGTGACAGATCAGTCTTGCAATGGCACGCTGCTCTATGGTAGCTGTTGGCTATGAACAGTGTAATATGGTTAGGTGAAACAGAGAAGATAGTGAAGGGCTAGAAAGTATGCAGGAAAAAAAATGAGTAGAAAACTGAAGTTAAGAGACAAGAAAAGGATGAGAGAAGATAAAGAAAACTAAATCTTTATCGTCACATTTTGTTTTTAATTTTATGTTTAACAATATGTGACAGAAACATGTGTTTAATTAATGCATTGAGAAATATATGTAAATACCCACCCTTAGCTCTTATTCAAATATGTAATAGTAATTGGCTCAACATGTCATTCCCAGGAACCTCACATTCATATGATCTACAATGCTTTTTATGAAGGACACATAGACCCTATAAGTGTTTTGTTTCAAATTACATCTCTCAAAAACATGAACAGTGTCCACAGGTTTTAGTTGTGCGCTATGATGTAAATGTTGTTTTTATAGTGATCTATTGCTTTCACTAACCTTAATGGCATCTTCAAACTTGACATCTTCTTGAAGGGCTTTCTTTGTGACCATGTCAAACTTCAAATCTTTAATTACTTCTACTTCAGCTATCAGTCTTTCAGCTCTCCTTCCATTCTTGCCTTTTTGATCTTCGCTACCCCTGCAAAAAAAAAAAAAATGATTACAGGCCTCATTATTCCTGGATTGCAGTGAACTTATACTCAAATCATCTGCAGGAATGGTTTCTTAGCAACTTACTTTTTATTTCTGAGGTGTTTGGCTTGTCGTGTAAGATGATGAATCACCAGTACTTTAGCTCGTTTTATGATACTCCGCATGCGAATAATCTGAGAAAAGTAAAACATTGAATGCGCATTTCAGTTGCGTCACTATCAATACAAACTTATACAGAATACTACAAAGTTTGAATGAAGGCAATATGATAATCAACGCAAAGCAGAAAATTTGGTTTTTTATTCTCATGACAATCTTTTTTTCACATCTTTATTCTTTTTGTACCTTTAATATTACACATACTATTATAATCTCAAGGTCCTTTATAGATTAATTAACATGAGTTGTTGCCAAATAGTGCAGCAATATAAAAATACTTGACAAATTATTTGAACTTTTGGCAGGAAAAAAAAATACTATATAATGAGAACAACATATCAGGTTACTGCACAATCCGAGTAATAGATCAAGATAAGTATATTACTGACATCTGGTTCTCATAATCAGCAGCACAAATGTCTTCATTAATCACAGTTCCTAATTTTCACATATTTTTGTGAAAACTATATACGATACTATCACTAAGTCAACTGATATACCGATAGTTTCGTAAGAATGGAATATGAATCAAAGCAGTCTGACTATTGGGCGGGCCAGTGGTTTATACAAAAAGTCAAAAATATTGTAGCTTTTTTTACTGAAAATAACAAAAATATTCACTTAATTTATAGAATGGAAATTATTCATTATCATGAAATCACCAAATCTGATAAAGATCTACCCAATTTATCTATACACATACAATATCAAAGAAATCTGACAACTTATTTTCAAAAACTAATCAATATTTCACACTAAACACTGTGATACATGTATGCACAATACATGTCATCAGCTAGTGTATACTTTAACAATACGGTGAGAAATCCAAATTATGTTACAGTACCAGTGTTATCACTGCGATATGGGAATGACATAACTCGAAATAAAGTTTAGTTTGAAACAATATATTGCTACGGATAATATTTTGTCGATTTTAAAAAGCAGTGGTGGCCATGACTTTCAAATATGCTTCGGCGACAAGCTCTAGGCCATGCCTAATTAGCATAAATTATATATGATTTATATAGTTTTCTGAAACACATATAATAATGACACAACCCTGGAACAGACCCTGTCCTTTCATTTAAATATACATGTAATATAAATATTATATTTATAATTTTCAATGTCAGTTAAATCTAACTAACAACTCAACAAGTGCAGATCACATTGAAAATGTTCCAATGTTATCCAAACCACTTGTTTTAGTTTGAGTTATGAATTTATAAATTTTTATTTAAAGAAAGGAAATGGGTTTGTTGTATTGATAACATGGAAGACCCTCGAGTTTTATGAAAATCACTGTAAACTAAGGTACAATATAAACAACAAACAGTAGTTTATATTACATATAAAATGTGTACTGTCTGAAGAGAAAAAAAAACAATTTGCAATTGACCTTGGGTAATTTTCATATTCATGAATTTCACATCAGCATGTCCCACCATGTGTGCCCTGAATCGAAGCTGTATGCAGCTTGGCCCCATTCAATGTGTGACTTGATACACTGTCAAAGCTTACATATATGTCTTACCTCTTCGTTCAATTTAACATTAACCATGTCGTTAAAATAAAAAAAGACGCGATCTTCTTAACAATTAATGGTTAGTTTGTTACAGCGGTCGTTTGACCATTCAGTCGATCAGCTGCTGTAGCGGAAGTAGAAATATATATACGGAAGTAAATCTCGCACAAAAATCAGTGGAGGGCGTGCTACACGTGCAACTTCAAGGTCTTTCGTTTCGTTTTTATTTTCGATCGCCATTTCTTCGATATTGACACGACTGGTAAACCACAAAAGTAGGAGTTTATTACCATTGAATCAGTGCAAATTTAGAAGTTCCTGCACGCTATTCAAAGTGGGGGCAGTCAGTGGAATCGCGAGTCGCACTGGCGCTTACACGGTGAATGTAGTCGCAAAGTCGAGGAGGAAAAGCAAGATGGCGGCGAACAGCCGTGGTCGAGAGTCATTTCAATTATCGCCAGTGCATCGTTTCTCTGATGAACTCCAAGACCTTACAATCCAGGATGAGTTCGACCCATTTGAGGGGAACTCGATGAGCTTTGACGAAACTGTGGACATCAACCTGACAGCGCCTCCGGAAACTGAGTAAGTCGCAGTCTATTTATTTTGTTTGTGTTGTGTCGGGGACATTCCCGCCCACTCAATCAAAGCCACAACATAGCTCGAATTTTCCGACACGTATTTCCCCAAATTTAGGAGTGCCTGAGATCTAGCTATGACGCAGTTTGACGTTGATGTTCTACACATGTGACCTCCATATCCTTCTAGACAAAACTCTGTCGTTTTATACAGACATACCATTATTTCGCGATATACAACAACTTTCTGAAGACTTCCTGTGCGACAGGCCCAACTTTCGATTCATCACTGTAGCCTTTCAGCTGACTCGTCTGCACATATAACTAGCTGTGTACGTCATACGGTATATATTTAAATTATATCATTGGGGAAGGGCAGGTGACACCGCCCTTCTTACCCAACAACGTCCAATCGGAAGTACCAGTTCGCGTTACCAACAAATGTTATAAAACCGGTTGAAGTGGAGCTACAAACAATGTCATGGCCAAGGTTATCTGACTTGTATGAAGATGAAATATCTTGTCTGGACTGTGTAGTATCAGAGTTAAACAAAACATGGATATTGGATACTGATGATCTTGCTGCTGAGCAAAGCAGGAACTGGGCTCAATACTTACGGAACAGTTGCTCTTGTGTAATTTCCTTGTGTGTCACAGCAGTTGAAAAAGTGGTGACCTTATGCAGATTGCATTCATATTCTCATATTTATAAAAACTATAATAGGTAAGATATAATGTGTCATTTCCTGAACTTTGGTTTGGCTTCTTACATGTTATCTGAATCTTCAATTCTGTGGTTGATCCTGGGAATCGTATCTTTCTCACTAGCATGTTATTTTATTCATAATTTTTTGAGTTCAGGATGTTGCTAATTTAAAGTGAAGTGTATTCTAACGATGAGATTGTTGGCACTTCAGCTAAATTCAGATTCTGTTAATTAATTATGTCATTCAGTCAAATTCACTAAAATGTAGCTATTTCAACATGTTTTACAGTACTTTCTACACTGAAGTCAGCCAACCCAAATTCATATGCCATATTTGCTGTACAGTGTTCGAAGTACATCTCCAATAGAAGTGCATGTACAAACTATCAGGCTTTAGCATTGACACACCTGTGTGATTTACACAAGTGTGAGCATTACTACAAGTACAGTGCATGGCAGAAACCTGTGTAGAATATAAACGCATAAATAATTATATTTGTAATTATTAGCCAGCTTTCATAGTGAGTACTAGCCAGGCAGTACATGCATGCCTTCAATGATACTTTAATGTGAATTTGTGTTTGTCATCAAATAAAATGTTTGGATGACATTAACAATAATTTATACTGCACTATGACAATACCATTTCTCGATTAATAAGTCATTTTAGTTTTAGTGCACACTGATGTCATTTGCGTACTTATGAACTGTTTGAAAACAAAAGTATTTATAAACTCAAACAACAGTTTGTATACAATGAAAAGCACAAAGCTGGGGCTTTGCTTATAAGTGAATTTATACAAATTTGTAAATGGTTATCATCAACTTCATTCAAATTTGAATAATTTACATTGTCTACGCTCATAATGCGTGCACATGCCTTCACATGACATAGCAACTGTGACCGCCCACATATTCAAAATAAGGCGCTTACTGATTGGACAATGTTGAACTCTCATTAATATTAATTAAAACTAACGATGATGTGCCAATACATTCATTTTACTACAGTGGTTTCTATTGGAATAACATTAGAACATTTTCAAATGGATGCCATTTTACACTGTGCTCATTGATTGGCTGGTTGGATTCAAATTCAATTGAAATTTATAAATATTAAAAAAATCAATACTTTCCTATGCATTCATAGAACTCATAGAAAATAAATGGTTAAATAGCAGAGCAAATAAAATATACTTGCAATATGTATGACTATTTATTAACACAATTGTCCTTGTTGATTCTATGCCTTACATGAAGGTATGAATTTGGTTTATACATGTATAAATGTTTTATAATTCAAATAATCGTTAGAAACCACTAGATTTTAATCAGCACATGTTATACATGTAGATGCATGGTCTTATACCGCCAAGTATTTTCATTGGATTTGAATAAAGCGTATAAATATTCATACAGTGAAGGGCAGAAAGAATCCTAGGGTCATTTAAAATGTTTTATGAATATACATTTTCATAAATGAAAATGGATGTAAAAACTAAAGTTTACCTTTTCAGAAATGGTATTTGACATTGTTCCTATCAGCATGTACCTCGTTTTCAATAACTGATGGGTGGCAGTTGTCATGTCACTTAGATGCAGGTGCATGGATAATCATCAGCATAGACACTGTTCAGCTTTTGAGCCAACCCCCAGCTTGTGTCCCTCGCTGTAACCTTCCTGAAATGCACAGTATCTGTTTCATTCTCTAATGAACACAGTGTTTATTCCGGTATTACCACATGTAAACTGTAGTTGTTGTATTGAATTATTTTTGTGAGATCTGTATCTTAGACACTTCTTAGACCAACTTTCTTCAAATCTCACACATACTTACCGTATTTATCCGGCTAAGAGCCCATGCCCGGACAAACACCCACCCCCACTTTTGATAAAATAAAGAAGTTGAGGTCATGTCTTAGCAAACGCCCAGGAGGTTTTTTTCTTCACCTGTAATAAAATAAAATAACAGAAACCTTTTCTTTGTTCGTTGTATTAACAGTTGACTTCCTTGCAGTCTGTTGTGATTCTGATAAAAAAAATTGAAAAATAAATGTCAATTGCGTAAAACGAGGAGTGAATGTGAAATAGCTGTGACATAAATAGAGCAGTGCGGTTCAAGCAAATCTTACAGTATAATGAGAGCCGCGAAGCAAGTGTCACACTCGTTCCGCTTTAGTGTCGCCGACAGTGAAACCAATGTTGTAATATTGTAGCAACCCCTACCTGTACCCGAATGGTTGAAAGCACGTTGTTTTGGCTTTATAAAATATTTGCGAATCCATAACTGGGGCCAGCAATTTTGCAATGTCATGCCGAAGACTGCCAACTTTTTTACCGTCTTTCATCACAGCTATTGCATTTCTGTCATGAAAATTATTCTTCTGTCGTTTGAGAAAATAATCTTCCTAATTCAAGCCCACCGCGATATCCATATAGTGAGACATTCTAACCACCGGAACTTGCTGAATGGTAACTTTCACCATGATTGATGTACGCTTAGTCTGGTAAGAAAGCGATGTTGAGTTGATCTCTACGATGAAATACTAACTGGTAGTGATGTCATTCTTAGCCAATCGGTAAAGCGGATGCTTAAAGGTTAAAGATGATAAACCAGACATTAAAAAGCATCGTGTGAGTCGTTTGCCGCAACCCCATTTTCTTTGTCTCTTTATTCTGATTAGATGTGAAATAAAAGTGCCAAGCTGACAGACAGCGAAATCCGTGGATTAAATGTGCCAAGTCCAAATTGTGTGGGACGACATCGACGAGCTTCAAGACGAAGCTGTAGGGATTTTGTTTGATCGCGTCAGTGATGCCGACTTGGACTTTCAGGGTTTTACCTTTTATGAAGATATAGCAATGAACGTACAAACAGAGATCTGAGATGTTTTTTTCAAGCAACTACATGTATAAACTTTCTTAATTGACTCCCATGTGCGAAGCACAAAATGGGAGTCTTTGCAGTTAGTGTGTCTGTATGTGTGTGTGTATGTGTGTATGTGTGTATGTATGTATGTGTGTGTGTATGTGTGTCCGACTGTTCCACTGCTATCTCAAGAACCATACATCGGTTTTTGATGAAACTTGGTACATAGATGCTCTGAACTAATGCTAGGTTTTGATTAGTTTTTGGTAATAATCCGTGGATGCTAATTACGCAGATTTGATTAGGTTTTGGTAAAAATCCATGCTCGTTAATTACCTAATTTGCATGATAATTAGCTATTTTTTAGTGGTTCCATGACTGTTCCACTGATATCTAAACAACCACTCATTGGATTTTGATGAAACTTGGTACATAGATGCTCTGAACATATGCGCAGATTTGATTAATTTTTGGTAAAAATCCGTGCATATTAATTACCTAATTTGCATGATAATTAGCTATTTTTTAGTGGTTCCATGAC